GTGCTCCACCGGCTGGTGGGGCTCTCGAACAGTTCCCAGTTTTAGTGGGTCCTGTGGTCCGGGTGTTGGGGTAGGGAGTCTAGGTCAGGGTCTGGGGATTCCCTCCAGCTCTGGTCTCCCTTGATGGATTCCCTGTCCCCTGATGGGTACTCACCCTGTAGGTCGTCAGTTGTTGTTGCAGTCCGTCAGTTGTTGTTGCAGTCCGAGTTCAGTTGGGGTGGTTGCGGGCTGGGTTGGGCGGCCCCCCGCCGGGTCGTTGCGATCGCGACAGGTCCCTTTGTGGCGCTGCTGGTGCCGGGCGGCTTTGGCGGGATGGAGCCTCTCCGCTCCGGTGGAGAGTGATGGGTGGGGTGGGATCCTCCTGGAGACTCCCGGCTGGTAGGTTTCTCTGTTCCTGGCGATCCGCTGTTCTGCAATCCGGTACCTGGTGATCTGCAAGCAGCCCCCTGTGTCTCTGTGGCTCCGGCAGCCCCTGCCGGGCCGGCTGGCCGGCGGCTTGGCGCACTGCCGCGCAGCCAGTAAAGGTTGGGGGAGGGGTCTTCGCTCTTCTCTGTTCTGAAATTCTTCTTTTCCTCTCTTTCTTTTTTTGTTATTTTCCACCTCTGGTTTTTCTCTGAGTGTTCGTCTTTTTGTTGTTGTCGGTCTCTTGGGGAGATTAAAGGTTGGAACTCGAACTCTCTTTTTGGTTGGAGAGAGCTGTGGCGTTTCCCTACTGCCCCGTCGCCATCTTGAGAACTCTTCCACACTGGTTATTTTTGTGACCAGGTCTCAATGTTTGCTTGGGCTCACCTGTAGCTGGACTTCATCTACCTAATTTATACTTCTTGTCATAGCAGGGATGAGGAGCTATGACATTTTTATTTTTATTTTATTTATTTATTTTTGGGTCCGGTCATGGGGCCTGAACTCTGGGCCTGGGCGCTGTCCCTCAGCTCTTCAGCTCAAGGCTAACACTCTACCTCTTGAGCCATAGCGCCACTTCCGGCTTTTTTCTTTTTGCTTATGTGGTGCTGAGGAATCGAACCCAGGGCCTCAGGCATGCAAGGCAAGCGCTCTACCACTGAGCCACATTCCCAGCCCGCAGGAGTTATGACATTAATAGACTAATTGCCAAGTGTGGTAGTGCATGTCTGTAATCCCATCAATGTGAGAGAAAGAACTAGGAGCATCACAGTGTGAGGTCAGAACTTATTTTAAAAATAAACTATAAAAACAAAAAAGGGCTGGGTACTGGTGGCTGTAATCCTAGTTACTCAAGAGGCTGAGATCTGAGGATAACAGTTCAAAGCCAGCTTGGTCAGGAAAATCTATGAGATTCTTACCTCCAATTAACTACCAGAAAACTAGAAGTGGTGCTATGGCTAAGTGGTAAAGTGTGTGCCTTGACTTGAAGAGCTGAGGGACTGTGCTCAGTCCCAGAGTTCAAGCCCCATGACTGACAAAAAAAAAAAAAGGTCCAGCGCCCAGGCTTACTCCTGTAATCCTACTTGGGAGGCAGCAGTCGTGGGGCTTGAACTCTGGGCCTGGGTGCTGTCCCTCAGCTCTTCAGCTCAAGGCTAGCGCTTTACCACTTGAGCCACAGTGCCACTTCTGGTTTTCTGGTGGTTTACTGGAGATAAGGGTTTCAGAGACTTTCCTGCCTGGGCTGGCTTTGAACCACTATCCTCAGATCTCAGCCTCCTGAGTAGCTAGGATTACAGGCGTGAACCACTGGTGCCGGGCTCCATGAAACTCTTATCTCCAATTAATCACAAAAAAGGCAAAGTGGTTCTGTAGTGCAAGTGGTAGCATGCTAGCCTTGAGCAAAGCAGAGCTCAGGGATAGTGCCCAAGCCAGAATTACAGCCTCAGGAACAGAAAAAAAAAAAAAATGCAAGGCACAAAGTGGCACATGCCTAATGTGCTAGCTACATGGGAGGCTGAGTATGGAAGGTTTCTATTCCAAGGCAGCCCAAGTGGGCATGAGAACACACACCTGTCATTCCAGCTATGACAGGAAGTATAAAATAGGTGGATGCAGTCCAGCTGCAGGCAAGCCTGGGCAAACACTGAGACCTCATCATAGTGGATGGTGTTTTGAGACAGTTGTATATGTGTGTTTTATTGACAATTTTTATTTATTTATTTTTATTTTTTGGGTCTGGTTGTGGGGCCTGAACTCTGGGCCTGGGCGCTGTCCCTCAGCTCTTCAGCTCAAGGCTAGCGCTCTACCACTTGAGCCACAGTGCCACTTCCGGCTTTTTTCTTTTTGCTTATGTGGTGCTCAGGAATCGAACCCAGGGCTTCATGTATGCAAGGCAAGCGCTCTGCCACTGAGCCAACTTCCCAGCCCTTGACAATTTTTATAACTATGTTCATCAAGGAAAATATTCTGTAATTTCCTTTTTCTGTGTGTCTATATAAATTTTGAGTATCAGGATATGTTCCTAGAATGTGTTCTTTGCATTTCACTGCATATGTGAGGGAGTCGTTTCAGGAATACCCATGTTATATTTTTTAAAGTCTATTAAAGTTTGTTGGTGAATATAACCTGTCTTGAAACTCTTCTTTGTTGGGAGACTATTACTGCTCAATCTCATTGCTTGCTATTGATCTATTTAAAGACATATCTTCTTATTTCAATTTTGATAGGTCAAATGAATTAAAAATGCATCATTTCCCACATATTCCCATTTATTAGTATGTAAGTTTAAAATATTTCCTAATGATACTTTGAATTTTATAGGTATTTATTGTGATACTTCATTTTTCGTATCTAATTTTATTGATTTAGATCTTTTCTTTTTTGCTGTTTCACTAGGAATTTACCATCTTCATTTCAAAAACTGACATTTTGTTTTATTCATTCTTTGTGTGTGTGTGTATATATGTATATATATATATATATATATATATGGGTTTTTGGTTTTTTTTTGGTCCGTCATTGGGCTTGAACACTGGGTCTGAGTGCTGTCCCTCAGCTCTTCAACTTAAGGCTAGTGCTCTACCACTTGAGCCATGGTGCACTTCTGGTTTTCTGAGTGTTTTATTGGAGAATAAGAATCTTACGCACTTCCCTGCTTTGGCTGGCTTTGAACTGAGATCCTCAGATCTCTGCCTCCTGAGTAGCTAGAATTACAAGCATGAGCCATCAGCCACCAGTATATTGTTAAGTATCCATTTAATTCATTTCTGTCCTAAATACTACTGCTTTCATCTATTACTTTTGGGGTTGCTGTGTATGTGTGAGTGTGTATCACATCAGTGGTAGTTTGTATGGCATCTGGGCTTTTCCATGACTTGGCTATGGTAAATTGTGTTAGGTGTTTTTCATCGTTCTGGCTGGTACCAGGCCATATTGGCTGGGAAAGACCTGGGAAAGAGTGTCTGGGCCTGGGTTAGGCCTTATCTAGGGAGAGAAAGGTGTGGCCACATCAAATTCAGATGTGACCTCAGTAGATGCATAGTCAGTCTGGTGAGTGAAGAAGAAGCGGTGTCCCAACTTCCCCCAGAGCCCTCTAGAGAGAAATGGCCAAGCCCCCAAAACCAAGTGTCTTGGCTTCAGAGGTGACCGGCCTTTCAGCTAAAGGCTGTAGGAGCTCACTGGTGTGGCGCCACATCTGGACAGACTGAGCAACAGAGAACCGTAGAGAGTAGTTTTACTCACCAGAGTAGAGAGGTGGTGTTGACATGGATGTGAAGGCCAGCAATGGTATCGATGCGCTGTGTCTGCAGCAGACAGGTGGGTTTGCCAAAGGACGAGGCCGTCAGAACTGTGGGTATTCCTCAGAGCAAAAAAGGGAAAAAAGAAAACAAAAAAACCAAAAAAAAAAAAAAAACGGAGAGGAATCCCACCTATCCTGACTTGAAGCCCTTCCCGGGTTTAGGCACCATTCAGGTTAGGTTTTTAAAAAGAGATGGCCGAATAAGAATCACACCATGCATGTGGTATCAGGTAAGAGGTAGGTTTATTCATGGTTCTGGCTGGCACCGGCCATCTTGGCCCTCCACGAGACTAGGAAAGGCCTGGAAAAGACCTGGAAAAGAGTGCATCTGGGCCTGGGCTAGGCCTTACCTAGGGTATGGTCGGAGAAAGGTCTGGCCACATCAAATTCAGATGTGACCTCAGCAGATGCAGATGTGACCTCTTCCAGGTGTGCCAGTTGCCTAGGTAACGCAGGTACTGGGTGGAGACTTTTCTGTGAGGAGGGTGGAGTCTGCTCGCCATCCAGGAGCGGACCTTACACATTGTGTTGCAATGAATATTAGTGTACATGTACGATTTTTATACTGACTTACATTCTTTTGGATAAATGTCCCAAAGAGGGGTTGTTGGATCATAGGGTTTTTTTTTTTTTTTTAATATTTTTGAGGAATCTCCATAATGGTTTCCATAGTGGTTGTACTAATTTACATTATTACCAACAGTGTATTAGAGCTTCTTTTCCCACTCTTTATTTTTGTTGTTGTTGTCGGTCGTGGGGCCTGAACTCTGGGCCCGGGCGCTGTCCCTCAGCTCTTCAGCTCAAGGCTAGCGCTCTACCACTTGAGCCACAGCACCACTTCCGGTTTTCTGGTGGTTCATTGGAGATAAGGGTCTGGCAGGGCTGGGCTCCCGTGGCTCCCGCCTGTAATCCTAACTCCTCAGGAGGCTGAGATCTGAGGACCGCGGTTCAAAGCCAGCCTGGGCAGGAAAGTCCTTAAAACTCTGATGTCCAATAAGCCACACAGAAAACCGGAAGTGGCGCTGTGGCTCAAGCGGTAGAGCGCTAGCCTTGAGCTGAAGAGCTGAGGGACAGTGTCCAGAGTTCAAACCGCGTGACCAAACAGTCTGGCTTTCCGCGTGTTGTGAATGAAGGCGTCACGCGGCCGCAGCCCGCATGCGCACTGCGGTGGCCCCTGCCGGGTGACGTCACAAAGGGCCCAGCCGGGCCGGGCGTCCTCAGCGACCAGAGGAGAAGGAAGCGGGCGGCCCTCGCGGTTTCTCCTCGCCTTTGCTGAGTATTCGCCGCATGCGCCATCATGCGACACTTCCGCGCTCGGCCTCGGGGCGGGCCTCGCTGCCCAGCCCTCGCCAGGCGGCTTTCGAGGGCAGGCCCTGAGCCTGCCGGCTGGCCGGGGCCTAGGACGGCCCAGCCCGACCTCAGGCTGCTGCTGTCTTCGGCGCGTCGCCGCCGGGCCCCGCAGCGGCGCGGCCCCGGGCCCGAGGCCGCAGACTGCACTCCGGGCAAAGGCCCTGCGGCGTCTCGGGAGGACTCCACCCCGAGAGCGGGGCCTGCGCTGCCAGGTGGACACTCGGGGGCGGGGACCGCCCGCAGGAGCGCGGGCACCCCGTCTTGTTGGCGGAGATCCTCGCTGCTCGTGTCTGCACCCAAGCCGCCTGCTCAGGCCGGGGAGCCGAAGACTCCAGCCCATCCGCATCGCCCTCACTGCCAGGACCCGGAAGCCTGGGGCCCAGAATGCCCCTACAGGAAGATCCGAATGCAGGGAGAGCCCACGGGACAGGCCAAAGAGCAGGGGGATCGCCCGAGCCTGGCAGACGACGCGCCAGACCCTCCTGTGAGGATCAGGAGAACCTTCGCTCTCCAGGGAAGCTGTTCTCGTCCCCAGCAGCGAGTTCTTCCCGAAGAGGACAGAGAGGCTTGTGCGCCTCCTACGAGCACCTCATGTCACGGCCGTGACATGCCCAGCTCGCAAAGCTCCGCCATGGACGGCGAGAGCCGCCTCCCCATCTGCTCAGACGCCCAGGAGCCAGGGAAGGAGGTGGAGGCTGACAAGCCCACAGCTAGTCCCCCAGCAAACCACGCTCCCCCAAAGACACCTGCTCGGACAGCCGCCAAGAGGAAAACATCCCTGACATCGGATCTTCCCCTGCCACTACCACTGCCCCGGCCTGTACCCTGGGGTCGAGGTGAGCTCCCCCCACCCGCAAAACTTCCTTGTATTGAAATGCAGAGAGACAGGGGCATTAGTGAGATCAGTCTGTCTCCTAAGAGAAAAAACTGTAAGGCAAAAGCCTTGGAGGGTAGACCAGAGGCAGTGACACATGGCAGTGCCACCGTGTCTGCCTCTTCTGTTTGCCCACCTGATGCGGGGACCGGTGTCCCCCGCTCCCTGCCTACTTGCACTGCAGACATTGCAGCTCTTCCCAGCACTGGGAATGCCACTGGGGCCCACAGCGTGAAAACAGACTCATCAAATCCTAAAGAGGGACTGACCCCTAAAATCCCCCGTGGCTGTTTATCTGCCCCTACTGACTCTGCTCCTCATAATACCCCTGCTGCTAATTTGGGGGTTCGAAAGGGTGAGAATGAACACCATCCTCTTGGATCAAAAGCTACAACCCCCTCTACTTCTGGCTTCCCCAAACCACCTCCCCCTGAATGTTTGCCTCTCTCTTCCCCTGTCCCTATGAGTGTGGATTCCCCTCTTCCCGTCTCTACCTACCCTCCCGTGGTCCCAAAATGTATGCCATGTTTGACCACTGAAACCACCACAGTTTTTGTCACACTTGCCCCCAGGGTATCTTCTCGTGTGGCCACTCGAATGGCTACACATGATGATATTGTTGACATGGATACAACACCACCTTCAGAGGCAGTAATTTTTACATCTCCTCTAGTTTCCAGCAACAACTCCTATCCATCTCCCCAGGCCCCCTGTAGCCGGCAGCAGGGGCACATTCTGAGTGGGCCAGTACCTACCATCCCACCTACACCCCACCCCTATCCATTCCCCCAGGTCCCCTACATCCTGTGCCAGGGGCATCTTCCAAATGGACCAGTCCCCACAAACCTCCCTCCACCCCAACCTTATCCTTTTCCTCCCATCCCGTGTAGCCTGGACCAGGGACAGCTGATGATGGGGCCAGTTCCCACTAACCCACCTCTGCCTATGGTCCCCTATCAACACTTTGTGCCTCAGAACTTCCCTTCGTCCACCAATGTCATCCCTAATGTGCCGCAGCACAGTGTGCCTATTCCCCTGTCTGCAGTTCCTTCTGTCCCTTCCAACATGGGCTCAGTCACTGTCCCTGTTTCTGGAGGCAATGCTTCCTCACCAGCTAAATCACCCACGGATGATGATAGTGCTATGGATACAACACCACCTTCACAGGCATCAATTTTTCAATCTCCTGTCTCAATGAACAACCATCCTGCATTGAACCAGATGCCTCCTGCTTCTAATAACCAGCCACATAGTGGCATAATTTCTACCATGCAAGGACCTGCTAATTCAAGTGTTCAGCCCCAACTTACGCAAGGACTAAACTACAATATTGGAAATCTTTCCAATATAAGAGCCATCCCTCAGCCCACATTGGGAGTCTCTAATGGACAATGTAACAATGGTTGTTTTCGGAGTGTCCCAGCACTCATAACACCAGCTAATGGCCTAACTGCTCCTCCAGTGCAACTACCCAGACATACCACCATGCAATCCATCACATCATCATCCTCTGCAGTGAACCCTACTGCTCTTCCAGTGCAACTACCCAGACATACTACCATGCAATCCATCACATCATCATCCTCTGCAGTGAACCCTGCAGTCATCACCCCACAAGCCTCTTCTACAAACTCTCAGAGTGCTGTGTACACTGCCACACCTACAACGGATAGCATGAAAATCCCCATGTTGACAGGTGGTGGTGACACGAATTCACCAATTCACCAGGCCCCCCCTGGCACAGCAGCTGTCATGGGCAATAGAGTTTCATCAAATCCAGGACACTCGCGGTTTGGCACATCCTCCAGCGGTTCACATTCGGATGCTAGAGATTCACATGTCAACCGCAGGCGTAGATTACAAATGTAGAGGCATCTGACTTTCCCACAGGACTCATTGGATTCCTTCTCTTCTCCTTACATGGACAAAACATGGCCTCATCTCTACACAGTGTGATGGACACATCAGGAGGTTCCACTGGACAGTATAAAAGGACTGTGTGTGACCCACCGGTGCCCCTGCCTGGCTTGTGGACCCTAACTTGAGCGATCAGCCAGTTTTCAGAAGCCATACAACTAGCAACAAGATAAATTTCTTTTTTCTATAGTTTATTTCAACATCCCTTATATTTCTCCAGTTAAATATAGAAAAACCCAAATGTTCATTTAAAAAGTAAAAGCTAAATGACTTTGATGTAATTGATTTGTCACTCTTCCTTTGGGGGATTATATCAGACATTAGCGCTTCCATACAAATGAAATGCATAGGTTTGAGTATGAGTCAGAATAGTGAAGCTTCCATATAATATAGAAGAGAAAGGAAATAGACATAGAATCAGAGCTATAAAGTGAATATAAAAGAGAATATTTAAAAAAAAGTTTGGATTCCTGAATTAGAGAGTTGCAAGGGAATTTGTTCCTTATACCTGTGAACATGCACATATATTCTTGCATGCTCCAGGAACTACCTTTTTTTGAGGGAGGAATTTGAACTCATGGAGACTCATGCTTGCTATGCTCAATTTGTTGGCTGGTGGTCTATCACTTGAGCCATGCTTCCAGTGTTCAGTAAAAAGCTCTACTTTTTACTTATTAATTAGAGTTGGAATATCTTTAACTGCCTCGCCTGGCTGTGAAGTATGATCCTTTGGATCCTGGCCTCTCAAATAGAGAGGATTACAAGCATGAGCCTCTTGTATCCAGCTTACAGGGATTTTTCAGTTACTCCCCATTGTCTTCACTTGTTTGGATGACATTAGTTTCAGATCTTAAAAAGACTCCGATGAACCGGGAGCTGGTGGCTCACGCCTGTAATCCTAGCTACTCAGGAGGCTGAGATCTGAGGATCGTGGTTCAAAGCCAGCCCGGGCAGGAAAGACTGTGAGACTCCTAGCTCCAATAAACCACCAGAAAACCGGAAGTGGCGCTGTAGCTCAAGTGGTAGAGCGCTCGCCTTGAGCTGAAGAGCTAAGGGATAGCGCCCAGGCCCAGAGTTCAAGCCCCATGACCGACCGAAAAAACAAAAACAAAAACAAAAAAACTCAGATGTTCCATTACCAGCACATGCACACAAAATATCGGATCCCAATTATCCCATCAGGAGTCTGTATCTGGAACCAAACCAGTGGATAGGCAACAATTAGGAAGGAAATCTTTGCAAATAGTTGGAGCAAATCCATCTCGTTAACTGCTATTAACACGGTTAAAATAGACACACTCCTTTGTAGCAGGCACAGTGATAGCAAAGAAAATGATACAAATTTTAAAGGAGGAGCAAATAATGCCAATATAATAATGCAGGTTTTAAAGATAAGTTGGGAAATAAGGAAACATGGCTGATTTAGGAGAGAGAGCTATTTAGGTTTCAAAATCAGTTTGGGGACAAGAGTGTATGTATGGCTGTATAGTTGTAAGAAAAATAGAAACATTTTGGCATTGAAAGAAAAAATGTTTTAACATATTGGGTGCTTACAAAATCTTTAGTGATTTCAGACACCTAAAGAGAAGGTTGTTACTGGGCTATGTCTTCCCCCTTGCTTTTGTGAGTAAAGGAGTTTGGAAAACATGGCATGCTCAGTAGTTCTCCTTCCTTTCCTCCACATTCCTTGAAGTACTTTGGTGGAATCCAATAAACCCCACTTTGCTGGCAGGTAGCTGTGAGCATCTGAGATACCTCAGGCTCCCAGGCCCTGTTATGTGAGGCTTGAGGCTGAGTTGCCTGCAGAAGACATCGCACAGTGACAGAATGCAAAGAGCTACATGGATTAGAAAATCTTGATTTTCTAGAACCATGTATACAGAGCAAAATCCATTGAAGGCCCAGAGGTGCAAGTAGGTTTTAAAATTCTGGAGGTTGAAGCTCAGAAGAGAGCCAGGCATGGTGGCTCAAGCCTTTAATACTAGCCATTTGGGAAGATGAGATTGAAGGATTCGGGTTCAAGGCCAGCGTGGGATTGTAAGTACAGAAGACTCCATCTTAACAATGGCTGGGTATGGTGGCGCATGCCTATTATCCCAAGTTACGGGGAAAGCACAATGTCTGGGCACAGTGGCATTTTCCAGTGACAAAAGGAAGCACAAATAGGAGGATCACAATCCAGTTCCGACATAAAGTGAGACCATATCTCAAAATTAACCAATTCAAACTAATAAGCTATTTAATAAAATAATGACCAGGAAGTAGAAACACTTGGAAGGTTGGGATGAGAAGGGAGTTAAATGAATGGAGGGAGAAAGGGAAATTTAAAAAATTTAGCTAGGCGCCAGTGGCTCATGCCTGTAATTCTAGCTACTCAGTAGGCTGAGATCTGAGGATCATGATTCAAAGCCAGCCTGGGCAGGAAAGTCTGTGAGACCCTTATCTCCAATAAACCACTAGAAAATCGGAAGTGGCTCAAGCGGTAGAGCGCTTGCCTTGAGCTGAAGAGCTGAGGGACAGCGCTCAAGCCCAGAGTTTAAGCCCCACGACCGGACCCCCCCCCCCAAAAAATTAAAAAATTTATAATTACTCCAAGAAGGTGCAGCAGGCATGATGTAAGTGGTACTTGTTCAGTAAGTGTGAGGTCTGAGTTGAATCTCCAATGCTAGAATTAAGAAAGAGAGAAAATCAGAGATGGAGACAGAGACAAAAACTGGAAACAAAAAGAAGCAGAAGCAGAAGAAAAAGAGAAAAGGAAATTAAAGGAAAGGAAGGAAAAGAAAACAGAAAACGGCCTTAAAAATGGGTTTAGGATAGATTAAACTTAAGGGTGTTTAGAATGAAAGGGAATCATTCAAAAATACCCATATTCCATGACAAATTTCTCCCAGAGCCTCATTTTCCCTTTTATTCTTCATTTTTTTCTAATATATTTTCATCATATTTGAATCCATAGTTGTAGCAGCAATGAATCTCTAAAATGGCTTGCAAAAGTACTTTTGGAGAAATTTTGGAAGGCCTGATTGAACCTCAGCATGATTCCACACTTGTTCTCTGTATTTCCTGTTGACCTATAGTTGAAATCACGTAGCCTAACCTAATGTACCTGCCCATGTCAGTTGCTCAGTCAACACAAACCCAGAGGCCTTCTCCCAGGAGCTGCAGAAGGGGGAGCAGTGGGGCTACACAGAAGGCAGACAGGCAGAGGGAGGGGACTAAGGCAAGTGACTGTTTTGCTTTAGTTTTTCACTGCCTTTGTCTAGTCTAGTAATTCTGAATATTAAAAACTAATATGCATAGAAACTTTGACTCTGTGTTGTTCCTCAGCAAGATATATCATGGAAACAAGAGAAGAGAGCAAAGGAGGAAGAGGAGGAAGGAACAGAGAGGCGAGTCAAAGAGGAAGAAGGAAAAGGAGGAGGAGAAAATGGAGGGTGAATGGAAGTAAGAAAGGGGAAGAAAAGAAGGAAGAAAAAAAGAGGGGGAGGAAGGAAGGAAAAAGTATCCCTTTTAAAAGCTGTAAGAAATAATGGAGCTTCAGATTTCATTGAATCCCTTCAATGAATACCATGAGACATGGCTAAAATAGACAGAAAATGTTGAACACATTTCAATATAAGAATTCTAGCCAGTTCTCTCTGATTAGCACAGTGATTTAGCTCAGCTAACATTTTGCTTTCTATGTGAAGAAAAATGAAAAAGTATTTTGTTTAACCACAGTGGGGACAAAGCTAGGGAGCAAAGAATAATTGATCACCTTTAAGTTTCTGAGACTCTCCAAAGACATTCCAAAAGCTGAAAACCTTCTCAGAAAGAAGCCAGTTTGGCATTGTGTCATAAGTGAAGCATTGTAAGGAGCACTTATTCTGTATACTGCAGCTATTTTGAATAAGGCAAAAGGATTCTGATAAAACATATTTTGCAGGGGCTGGGAAGGTGGCTCAGTGGTAGAGCGCTTGCCTTGCATGCATGAGGCCCTGGGTTTGATTCCTCAGCATCACATAAGCAAAAAGAAAAAAGCCAAAAGTGGCGCTGTGGCTCAAGTGGTAGAGTGCTAGCCTTGAGCTGAAGAGCTGAGGGACAGCGCCCAGGCCCAGAGTTCAGGCCCCATGACTTGGACCCAAAAAAATCCAAACAAACAAAACATATTTTGCTGTTTTATCTTGAGGGCCAAGAAGTGTTTCTCTGTACTACATCCTCTGAGAGTTTCTGAGAATCTGAAGATTTCATATAACAGGTTACTACACTCTGCTGGCATTTTTCTAGAAGAGAACCGAGCTGTTTATTTGTGAGACTATCAGAGGCATTGTAGGGATTTTGATGAGTGGAAGTTGTACAGTGTCAGCAGTCTATCGCTTTGAGCTTGTCCATGAAAATATTATCCAGCCAAACAGTGGTAAGAAAATCCAGAATGGAAGTCTAAGTCAGAACGCAGAACTGGGACAGTAGCAATCCTGTGAATTATGTGTAGAATCTCAAGCAATTTAAATTGTATCTTCACCTTTTTACATATTGAAAATTAGAAAATTTCTACCTCACCATCAACTCTAATTCTTTACAGACAGTTGTCATTTTTTACTGTCATTGAGAATTGGTTAGCGAATGCATCTGATATCTCTTAGCTTCACTTAGTCTACTGTCAGACTCAAGTCACCCTATTGGATTGAAATGTTATTGTAAACCTTCCCAAAGTGTGTTCTGTGTGGTCTCGTGAAGACTGAAGGTTGGAAATAACCATGGACAAGCAGTTGCACCACAAGTACATTTTGCATCTGTCTTGTAATGCCAGGGTTCCAACTCACTTTCTAACTCAGCTCATGGCTGGCCCTCTTAGTTGAGGCCCCTCCCACCCAAGTCTGGCTTTTTGCTGGTTAATTGGAAGTGGACTCTTGCAGACTTTTCTGCTGGGCTGGCTTTGAACTGTGAGGCTCCACAGCTAGTACTGTAGGAGC